AGAACCTCTACAGAAAGGAATGCGAGCAGCTCTCCAAACTGCTGTGGCTGTGGTATTTGATAGTCACAGCCTCAAAACTAGCGAGGCTTCGTAAATTTATTAGTAAAATATAGTTATTATTATTTCGCAAATTTATTAGTAAAAATACTTAGTATTACTTCGTAAATTCATTAGTAAAAATAGTTATTTATTAGTAAAATAGAAAATTTATTAGTTCACTTTTTTAAGACAATCTTTAAAAAGCGAATCAGTAAAATACCGCAACACGTGTGTGTAAGATTTTATATTTAATGCAAATAGATTTCCATAGTTTCAAAGGTCAATTTGATACCGAATTTAACAAAATTGCTTAGATTTCAGGCCACTCACTTCGTCGGCGTTCTGTGTTTTTCTACATATTTATTTCTCTTTCAATAAAATCCAAATAGAAACCGTATCCTTTCCTATTACGATAGATCTATTTTCATAAAATAATATATAATACATTACATACATACGTATTACATACATATACATACATATTATAGTATATTATTGCATCCTTTCATACCCTAAATGAATTCATTCACTTGTTGTTTCCAGCTTTGTTCTTCATACTCATGAATACTAAAAAGTTAGATTATAGGCAATCTGAAAATAGCCTCCTCAAAATGAGTTATCAGTTATAAATGAAGTCCTTGTTAACAATTATCATTTTGCACGTGCTCATTAAATAGCTTCACTCGTCTACTTCTTGCATTTTAATATATGTAAGTAGAATGAAACACTCCTTACTATAAAAAATAGTGGAAAATATCATTTATTTTCTAATATAATCTACTTGCACCTTGATGCAATTTGCATATTATTTAAGAAACGAGTTAAGTAATCTGAAGGTTTGTCCTCAAAAATTTCCATAACTGCTCTTTTCATGCCATCATCGTCATTAACTCTCTTTCCACGAACATTCGACTTCATATCGTATAAACATATATTAATAATTTAAAGCTAAGCTTCGTGGAAGCTGTTTTTAATTTAAAAAATTGACTGACACATTGATGTTCTTGAATTGTTGAAAGAAATTTGGATTCTCGTCTTGTAGAGACTTTATTCATGTGATGATGTTGACAGAGAATGCGCAAAAAAGTCGTCTCAGGTAGACCAAATCTTGCTTTCATCTCGTTGAAGTTTAGTATTTTCTTCCGAACACGGACAACAGTTAGTTTTTGTTCAAGACCTCCAGCAGATGACCTTGTTGAAGACAATCTTCTCCTACTGATCCTCGCGAAATTATTCTGGTTTTTCTGTCACTGTAAAACAGAAAGGAGATGAATCAGAGTACACATGATCCAAGCGTTGTTTTATTTCTTTGGGATTAAGATTTCTTTTAATCAAAACTTTAATCACAGAGCAGTACTCAGTTGTAAGCATTTCATAAAAAAAATTTTCTCAATATTTTCTCATTCAGTATATAGAGGAAAAAAAAAAAAAAAAAATCATTTGATTTCTCTGACGAAGCTTTCAAGTTTGTTCATTTAATATTGCCATTACACTTTTGCAACAGGAATTTATTGTCAAACAGTTTTCATATACGAGGCTGCGGAATATAGTAAATGCACGTCGATTGTTGCTTGCGTTCAGTAATGTCTTACATTTAAAAATTTGACAAAGAATTATGTCATTCAGTACCATCTCAAAGTCATTTTTCTAAAATGAATTTCTGTTTGACTTTCGAAAACCTTCAGTTAAAACTTTTGTCTTGTTGCTTTCCCATTTTCCTAACGCAAGTCTGAACAAACGTTGCAGACGATTCTTTTTATTCTGTAGTTTGTTCTTTGTAGTACATTACTTTTTCCGTTTCTTACCTAAATTAAGTAAATTAAGTGTTAATTTTTGTAATGCTATGAATCCATGCTTCTTCTGTAAGTCAATAATTTGTGTCCTTTCATTATAATATCTAGCGGATTCATGACAAGAAATGTTATCTCAAATGATTTATATGATTACAGCAAACATGAATGGAATACGCCTAAAAGGTATTGTCAAGGTTTAAGAAAAGAAACCAAATGAGAACATATCTGTCATTTTAATTCAACATCCGTCTGACATTTTTATTGCAGTTATTATTAAGTGCCTTTAAATTGGGATAGTTTTTCGCTTGCTTTGATTTTAAAACCAGTTTATCGAATGATATTGAGTCTGTTGGATACATAATGGTCTTTACATTGTAATTCAGCGTGAGAACAATGGTTCTTAATGTCTTCTATCTAGAGTTAAGAAACTTTAATGACAGAAGTTCTGTTTGATGAGACATTGACAGAATTTTAAATCGCAGAATATTTTTTTTTATATAATAGTGTAATTCTATGGTCCAAAAAATATTGTAGTTATCTAAATAAGATCTAGATATTATTATAGCTTTGTTTAAAAATAACATTTGAAATGAGAGATTATATTATCAGATTTCTGAAATTTATTATGATTTTAGAAAATTTATTAATCGCTTTTTGCCACCACGATAGCTCTAATACTCAGAAATTAAATATGAATTGTATTTTCGCATTTAAAACAATCGTAAAATCCTAAAAAATAGAATAAAATTTTGAAAGCTTGCTATGATAAAATCAACATAATATTGTTTGGGTAACATGAGGTCATAAAGGAAGTTATACATAACCATTTGTACCATCTGAAAGCAAAGGATTTCGTCCGCAGATCATCTTATCTGTTACGAAGTGTCACAGGTCTGAATTTTACATAAAACAGATATGTTATGGCACCTAGTATTTCTTCCAATTTTAGTCTCAGTTTTGATTTTTGAAATTAAAATTTGGAAATGCTAAAAAATAAGAGACGCTAGTTTAAGTGAAGTCGAAGTAGTAGTAACTTATTACGCAACACAGATCTGCTTAAACATTTGGATACATTTTTGGTTTATATATTGAAATATATTTGTTTCTCATAATCTGTTTGTCTAATTACTTGTAATAATACTGTTTTATAATTTAACTGTTAAAGAACATAATTTTTAAAATTAAAGTTTGGTAATGCTAAGGAGTAAGAGATGCCAGTATAAATAGTAGTCTTCATAGCAGTAAATGATGACATAACACAAATTAGCATAAATAATTGGTTTCATTCTTTGTTAATATTGAGATACATTTGTTTATATTCTTCTTATAATGGTGGTTCATAAATTATTTTATATTTAAATAAACTTTAAAATATTTTGTAATTACCTAAAGCGTGGGGGTTTTAAAAAATGGTACCGATACACATTTCGAAGACTGATTAAGAAACATAAATATTCATTGTAAGTTAAAAGCAATAAAATTTGCGTAACTGAAGGTGATGATGAAAAATAACGTTTAACTGATAATCCTAAAATCCAGTCATCTCTAATTTTCTAAATAAATTTTTCCTTTTTCTTTTTCATTTTATTAGACTAAATGTACATTTTACATTAATAGCAACTGATCTTAATATATTTTATGCAAGAATACAGATAGAACTGTGAAATAAATATGGTTAGGATCGTTACTGGGTTATATCAAATCAAATTTACTAGATAAGGAAAGAGTTTCTAGAAAATTCTAAATCACCAAAAGCAGACAAACAAGGTATTAATAAATTTCTATAAATTATCAAAAAATAACAAAAAAATATACTAGTAAATTTTTGCTTCCTATGAGGAAATTTTTCTGTCAGTAAACAATGATGGTGACGATAAAAAGAGCTTAAACTTGGAAATTATACTTACGTTTCTTGCATTCGAGAAAAAATATATTACTGTAATACTGTGGCTGTAACAACATAACATTTTTGTTCGGGATTAATTTCCAGGTCACTAAAACAGAATTTTTAACAAAAACAAATAAAACAGAATTGACATTAGCTGATATACTTTTGGTAAAATTTTAGCATCGCCTAGCTGCTAGTAAGCGTTGTGAAATTTTTTTTTTTTCAAAAGATGACATGGTTTAAAAGTAACTGATATGCAAATATTTCTTAATTTATATGTGTAAATATAATGTATAGCGTAAACTACTGCTTGTTGAAGACATTTATTATTTATCGCCATTTAAAGTGGTTCTCATGGTAACTCCCCCCTCCCCGAAATAAGAATGGTGTGTGGTTTTGCTCTACTTTTTGCGGCTCATAAATTTTATTATTAACTCCTTTATTACTTTCTACTTACTCCATCAAAACTACTTTTAAGTAATCTGGAAAATATCTAGTTTCTGATTTAGAAAAGGATTTTTGTAAGAAAATATTATTTTCAAAATTATAAGTATATTACAGGCAGAGCATTGAAATACTTCATAAACCTATAGTTCTTAAAAACCTATAGTTCCTAGCCTATAGTTCCTAAACCTATAGTTCATATAAGATTTCAATAGGGGCGACAGAGGACTGCTGTTTATTTAGGATTAGAGGTAAAATGCGGAAAGTACATGTATTTGTACAAATCACTATTTACAGTTAACTACTATAAAAAATAAAACATTCCTAATCCACGTAAATAATTAGATGACACGAGGACGCATTTTCTGCAAGCAAATATAGTATTACTGATATGACATATATTTGCATTATATTTTTATAGTACTATAGAAGTTGAAAATTGATGTAATTCCATTAACCTAAATAATCATTCACCATTAATTCTCTATAATCTATATCTATTCTTTAAGGAATTATGAATTATCTGTTAATGATGATGAAATGAAAATGTTCATCGCGCAATATGAGACAGTTATATTCAAACTGCCTATGGTTTTTATCTTTATAGGAAAGAACTAACTAACATAAACTTGACTATACATATATATATATATATATATTTGAAGAATACTAATTTTGAATAAAATTATATTTGCAAAATATGCTTTCTGAGAAATTAATCAGGTGTATATATCTTCTTAAAAGAATGAAATTTTAAAGAATGAAGAATATATCTGTCTAAGTTTTTATACATTGTATCTAAATTTTAATTTTATGTAAATATTTTTCAGGTCCTACCGGTCGGAGTACGACACGCGACTCCTCCTCGAGTCCCGATGTGACAACGCTAGATGATGACATGAGTGATGAACACTCACTATCTCCAGAAGATGATGACTCTCATAGTCTGTCTACGAAGACCTCGTCCTCTTCTGCAGAAGACCGAAATCGTGATGGAAAAGGTGGTAGGAGGAGGAGAACAGCTTTTACCAGTGAACAGCTCCTAGAACTCGAAAAAGAATTCCACGCCAAAAAGTACTTATCATTAACAGAAAGGTCTCAGATCGCTCATGCTTTGAAACTAAGCGAGGTAAATAGTTAGAAATACTGAATACACTGCATTTAAATATTTTAAATTACTGCTAAATTTATTTGAGATATATATCAGTCATTATTCTTCTGTTTAAAATGAAATGTAGTTAGTTATAAAACAATCATTTTAAAGGTGTCCGTCAATTCTTTGAAGAATGTCCGATATTGCTTGCCTGATTTTTGAATGACAATAACTTTATCAATTAGCTGTAAGCTTGTACTTAGCTTAATTGTACTGAAATTAAATTTATTATACACTCCACATTTTGTCCTTCCCTTTCCTAGTATTTAGCACTCGGTATTTTCGAAACAGGTGACTACTGAGTCGTATGTATAACAACAGGTGAACTACGCTTTATTTGCCTTCGGTTATGAGTCACGTGATACACCCACCTGACGGTAAATCATCATCAGATGAATTTTTTGACACTGCTCTAGTGTCTACACTCAAACGACAGACTGTCTCTGTGGGGTCATCTGAACAAAAGAGGAATAACAGTCGCGATGCTTCTCTGCTACCTTGCTGAATTGTGGCAGCGATTTGTCAACAATGGGAACAAGTTTCTGACCATGTGAAGAAACATCTGGGCAGTGTTTGTGTAAATGAAAAATGCAGATACTTACAGTGTTATTTTATATCTGATTATAGTAGGAAAATCATGTTTATTGATAAATATGAAATAGGAGTGCATCAATTAACTGATGCCATATAGAATTACTTGAACTACTTTTCTAATGTGTATGTTGACGATCATCGAGGATGTGACAGACCATCTTCAGGATCACATTAGTGCATTCTGCTGGTAATGTTACAAAATTCCATATAATAAACTGATACTGAGATAAATTTTCTGGTAATGTAATAAAAGTAATTACGTATAATTTCTTCGTATTTGTTTATATATTTATTCCATTACTGCTGCTTTTAGTGCGGCAATGTTACCAGTTTCTTTGATTTTAGTTAAAGTTCCCGTGCGGTAGGTCACCATACGGATGGTGGGTCTTCTATTGTGAGAAAAACTAGCATTTTTAATACATTTCTATAAAGGATCTCACATGTTTACTTGTGTTGGCATTAAAAAGCATTGTAGAACGCATTGATGATACTGAAAATAGTTGTCTCCAACAGTCCGAGAGTTACGAACTTCAGAAAATCAAATCTAGTCTGCGGATGGATTATTGAATGCTCCATGCTTGACAGTCTACGCTTGCTTAGGTAGAATCATGCAGATACTCATGGATGTCATTTTAAAAATTTGCCGTAAGGATGTAATCCCACATTTTGCGAATGAAGGTCTATGATTAGCTGCATGATATTTTTCAAGATTAATGAGGTGACAGTCAGGAAAATCATGGAAGCCTTTTTACGTTATTTAAAATATATAGCTTCTGAACGAGACTTTCTCAATTTGCTATGGGTGCCCAAATTTTCGGGGCATTTATGCAGCATGGTACTAATTGAGATGAGCCAAAGGTTGCACCCCTTGGCACATAAACATATCACAGACCGATTGCGGAATTCACTAATATTTAATTAATATTTTAGTATAAACTTAAATTACTCTCAGATCTGATAATATATTAATCCAAAAGATGCTCATTAGGAACAAACAAGAAAATATTTTAATTTAAACATTGAAATTGTTTTTAAAGTCCAATGCACATGCATTTAGTTTGATAGACATTACAGTGATTGCGAAGAATTAACTCAAGATGTTAATTCGGAAGTCTTTTTTGAGGGGGGGGGAAGCATTATTTGCTCTCATATATAAAATCTGCTTTTTATTTCATATCATTAACTCTAAACTCTTACTTTTTATGAATTCTGAATTTTATGTATTATTATTTTCGTGATACAATTTAATAATTTCTCTTCAATAAGTAAAAATGTGCAATTTAAATCATAGGTAATGTGGAAAACGTCAATTTGTTTCCCTATAAGTTGGTTAATGACTGGAGCTTTAAACTGAACACTATACCAAGTGTTACTTGATGAACAGAATACTACGAAATAATAATAAAAAAATTACTAGGAGAGGGAAGGAAAGACAAACAGTTTTTCTAGAACTTTTTTGACTGAAGAAAACAAAGCGTTTCTTATTGCGAGAAATTAGATTTTGCTTTGAAAAGGGCTGATGAGCAGCCCCTGAGAGATATATAGAATAAGTCTGCTGATTTCAGGTGCTGGACCTTTTTACCTTTTATGAAAAGACATTTTCTTTAGAAAGTAAAAAAAAAAAAATTATATTCAATAAATATTCTTCTCCCCTCCCCTAACATGCTCATTGAATATTTTCTTATTTTTGAACTTCATGTTGTTGTAAATTAATAATGTCATGTTAATCATATGAGTGTAAGATATTGAAGACAAAGAGTATAACTTATATTTTAATTTCAAAAGTTCAACAAATTTTCAATTCACAATATTCATTTAAGTAGGATTTTTATAAGTCTGTCATTATTAGAAATGTAGTTTAATTGAAATTAGTTCTGAATTCAGAATTTGCATCTGATCGCCTATATATTAATAATTATTATAAAATTGCATATATATCTTATTTTTGTTATGATATAAAACGGAAGTATTATACTGGTTCCATCTCAGTGTAATATCGGTAAAAAAGGAAATGATAGTCTTTCTTTTTCAGAGTTTCTCTCAGTTATTTATTTTTGTATTATTAGAATTAAAAGTTAGAATTAGAAAGAATTACACTTTTAGAAGTAAACTTTTAACAGAATGCTTTTAGTTTAGGTACACCAACTGCCCCCATCACCGACAACATGCTACTTCGACAAGATCAGGCAAGGCTGTCTTTCCCAGCATTTATACGTTATTACAGCCTATAACTCATACTTATGTCCTATTTTTTGTAAACCTATTAATCTTAAACACAAACATAGTTTCCATAAGACATATTCCCACTGATTGGAGTTAGATAAGCAAACCAACTTCAGTGGCTCAGTCAGTGGACTGAACCACTGAAGTTAGTTTGCTCGCATTTGCACTTATAATAGACTGCTGTAGAGTTTCTGGTTAAACAAAAAGAAGAACCAAAAAAGCTCATTTTGCGTTATTCGATGAAATGATAATGAAGTGGCTGTCTCCGTCCTCAAAATTAGCAAATGTTGTCTGGCTATATTTATGAAAATTGCATATTTAACCTTCAGAACCTTAAGTAAGTACCCCTAGGGTTAATTATCGGAACATAGGTTAAAATCTTTACGAAGAGAATTAGTTGTAAAAACAAACTTGTTTGCCTAAGATACTAACTTAAGTATTGGTAGGCTAGAAAATAGCACCAAAGCTGCTAAAAATAATTCTAAGGCTGCTATGACTCTAAAATTGTTTATACTGATACTCGTTATTATTATTCTTAGTTTTGTGACTTGTTTTTCGACTATATGTCTTAGAGATACGATTATTATGCATTCACCACTGCTTTTCTTCAACATTCAGGTCTTACTATTAGAAATGAAGCAATTTAGTTATAATCTCTAAGGATTATATTTATTTACAGATTAATTTATTTCAATGAATTTCATTTTATTTCAGGTGCAGGTGAAGATTTGGTTTCAGAATCGCAGAGCCAAATGGAAAAGAGTTAAAGCCGGACTTGCATCAGGAAGAATAGGTTCCAACAACGGAAACAATGGACCAAAAATTGTCGTTCCTATTCCTGTACACGTCAGCCGAATGGCTATCAGGAGCCAACACCAACAAGTAGAAAAACCGCTAGCTAGGTGAAAAGATGCTACCTAGACTAGTTTATAAATTTAATTCACAATATGTTCCTTGGGATGCTGGCTATCTGAAGGATACAACGAATAACAAGATCTACAGAAGCATTGCAAAATTAATGTGATGCTTTGAACTATCATTGGGGCTAATACTGGAATCTGCACTTCAATGTTACTTACTGTTGCCACAATGTGCATTTTAATGCCTGAAAACTATTACGGTCTTTTAGTTTAGGAGATTTGGAACAATTTTTCTGCTACTCGTGGAAGTAAATATAGTTGGGAATTTCAACGTCTGCTACCGTTTCGACTATTTTAAATAAACAAATAAAATATTGCTTTATTATTAAAAGCCTTAAACCGTTCATTGTAAATAAAACAACATAGTATTTTCAAATGAATGCCATAAATATTATGTATAGTTTCATTTCGGTGTAGACAAAGTGGATTTATTATTATTATTGTTGTTTTAGTATTGGATATGGCAGACGAGTTGCAGGGAGTTTCAACTTAAACTGAAAATTACAGAACAGTGTAAACCAGCAAACTGCCTTTGCTTATTAGTAAAACACAAATAACTTTAAAAATGGTGTTATTCGAAGGGAATTTACTCGTCGAGCAATGACTTTTAAATTATAAGGCACCCGGCTGCATTTTAACAAAATATTGCTTTAGCACAACTATTGTTTCTTTTTTATTTGTGATTGCATGGAATGTTTTAACTTTTTTTTTTTTTTTTTTTTTTTTATCAAACTACAAAATAAAATGCTCTAAATACTAAAATAAGTTGCATTGCAATTACGACGAGTTATTTAAAGAAGGCGAGAGACAATCATGTTTCATTAATTTGCATATATTGATACGCAACATTTCAGAGAATTTGTAGACACAATTTGTATTTAATCGAAGTAATTAATAAAAATGTTGAAAAATTATCTGTGAATAGTTATCTGGTTTCTGTCCTTTCACACTACGTTGTTTATAATGTATTAATTGTTAGTATTATTCAGACTACATTTATATATTTTGATATGCACACCAATTGTCTTAAAATACATTAAAAATATTTTGTTAATTTCTATGTTTAAAATACATTTCAATTAGAGACTATAATAAAAGAATTAATGAAGGCTAAGAGAAACTTATGAATCATTTAAAGTTTTGAAAGCGTCGAAAGAAAGTTACATATATTAAATAATTCAAACTGTCTTGTAAAAGATTTCCATACTACAGTCAAAAGTCGTTAATCCGAACTCGTCGGGACTTCGGCGATTCCGGATTATCGATTTTTCCGGATTATAGATCATCAGTTTAAATCTGGTAAAATGGCATGCAGAAATTATAAAATTAAAAATATGAAACCTTAATTTACGAAATAAAGAACAATTATGATTTAAAGGGTATCAAAATTTACAAAAAAAAAAGCTTAATATTTATTTGTTTACTTTATTAAACATTTCTTTCAATGTAAGTTGTTTAAGTTGCTTCGTTTTTTATGTTGTAATACATTCTCTTTAATTCTATAAACAGACATAATTTCTTGTTCAGTTGCAAAGTTCCGCTGTTCAAGTGATATAATTGCTGTGTCGAGAATACCGACTAATTTTGTCAATCGAAATTTTTTTTCGTTTTCAATAACCTCTGTCACTTTCTTCGCTATCGGAAGCGAATTATAATGACGAGGCATTTGATTTAAATCATATCAAAGACGAGATGAAATACTACATTGAGTAAGCAATTATAAGCCAAATAAAATAAAAACATCTGCCCTTAAGATAAGGATAGTGTTGACAGATCAACTTCCAATTCAATGCTCGCCGCTGCAGCGTTAAAGATAAACAAAGTTTAGATAAACACACGTTAAAGTTTAGATAAACTTTATCCATTTTTTGCAGCAGTTCCACTTTTTGTTTAATGGACTCCGAAAGATACTTTCGCTTTGTATATCCTTTACATATTAGTAAATATATATCGGAAATTCTATTTGACATAATCGAAAGTTCAAGCTTACTTTTATAAAATTGCTCTAACAGTCTGCAAAAAATAATAATCCGGATCCAATTCGAAGATTAAGGAACAACGCAATCTGCAACATTAACTGAAATAGATAATTAGATAATTTTAGCTTAGCTTATCCCGTCCGTTATACATTAAACGCGCATTCGTAAACGTATTTTGCGCACGCGCACACGCAAATTAGCAGCGGTAAAGGTCTTACGCGCATGCGTCAACGCGACGCATGCGCAGAAAGTTTGTAGCTTTGAGGTCCGGATTATAGATCCTTCCGGATTATGGGTGTCCGAATTAACGACTTTTGACTGTAGTAGTAATTATGCACTTATAAAAACTGCATTTCAAATTATTAGAATATTTCCTTCCGAATTGACGATATATTTAAGAAAATACATATTTAGAAGCAAAATATTAAAAAAAATTGACATAAATAAAACTTCTCAAGGAGAACAAGTTAAATGTAGTAAAAATCACAAATTATTTCGAAAATACATAATAGAACTCAAACTAATGCAAGTGAAATTAAATTTAAAAAAAAATAAAATAGCGAAAGTTATGTCAGAGTTCTGGACTTAATTACTAAAGTAATAAATTCTGTAATATGCTTCATTAAATCTCTATTGAAAATTATATAATATATAAAACAAGAATAATATAAAAGTATAATACAATTACACATTAAAATCAGTTGAAGGGTAAAAGGAAAGAATAGTAATAAAATATTATACTAAAAAGAAATGTACTGTAGAGTCATAGGTTTTTTGATGCAGAAGTTCATGAAAAATGTGCGAAGCTCTCCCTGAGACTCAAACTGGACCTCTCGAATGCGGCCGATTGTGCTAATGTTACACCATGAAGAGCGTACTGAAAAGAAATAGCTTATAGTATAAATTTTTCTCAATATTATTATTATTATTTTATTTATCATTTATTTTTATTTATTTATTTATTTATTTTTATTTATTTATTATTTATTTTTTGTCTTTGTACCGCCAAAATGTACATTGATTAATGGAATACCTAAGGATAAAGTTTTTTTTCACATTTTCAAAGAATAAATTTAGTACCAGTTGTAAAATAAAACTATTAAACATTATTTACTGATTAGATAAAATTTTGTTTTATTATGTACTTGAATTTGGCAACTATTGTATTGTTTGGACCTCCTTCGTAATATTTTAATTTAGAGACCTTGTTGACTTTATAAAGTAACTATTTTTCCTTCGAATTAAATGGTGCAACTGCAATTACTTAATATAATTTAGTAACATTTACATGCACATTTTTAATTTAGGAATTTGTCGACATTTACAAAATAGCTACTTCTTCATTAAAATAATTTCAAAATTAACACTAAGCAGCTGGAAGTACATTATAAAATTTGTTAGCTATATGTTGAAACTAAGTTTTCGAATTCACTAAATATAGTCTTAAATACTTTTTAATTACGGTTTTCGTGGCATAATTTTTGTTTTAGTGCAACACTAAGAATGAAGAACCCAGAAGTTTATTTTCATCGTATTATGATTTTTTATTTTAAATAAGAAAAAAAAAAATACTACTGAGTCTGCTTGCAAAGTTTATGCTCTATATGAAAATGACACAGACATATGAGAGATAGTTTGAGAAGTGAAGAAATTTCAGCCTCGAAAATGATGCCTGCTCTGAATGACCATCTACAGCAAACAAGAACCTATTAAAAGAAGGATCTCTGAAAATCTACGTTATATAGTTCAGGAACTATTAGACAGACTAAATATTCCAAAAAATACAGTACATGATCATTTGAAGAAGGTTGGATGTGTATGCTGCTACGATGTATGGGCACCCCATACTTTAACAGAGCAGAATATGCTTGCTCAAATTCCAGAATGTGATTCTTTGCTGAAATGAAAAAAAGAATTCTTTTTTTTAAATAGCTCATTACGGCAGATGAGAAACAGATACTATACAATAATATTACAAGAAAAAAAAAAAAAAAACCATGAGATAAGCCAAAAGAACATCGAGAAACATCAAGAAAGGTATGCATCCCCCTAAAAATATAGTGCGTCCACAAAAACTCTCCTCGATTTTATTTGGTTATAAAATGGAACCCTTGGAGAATATTATGTTCATTTTTTTGGGTAAACGTATAATAACTCCTAAAGTTTTATATTAATTATAGCACTCAATGTGGACCCCTCCAGAGAAAGGTTTCCCTCACACGATCAACAACTTGCAACAGAACTGTTTGTCTGCCAGAGTGCCCTTTCCGCTTATCACAAATGCACCCTTCTTCGACGAAATCTTTCTAGCACTTCAAAACTGACTTGTTTGAAGTGGTTCCACATCAAATTTGTGCGTTGCAAAACGTTGAAAAGACATAACACTCTTCGTTGTGCGGAATTCTAACACACATCAGCTGCGTTGTTGTTTGAAGTGCGCCATGTTCAATTTACTGCCCTCTAACTGAAAAATGGGTAAATGTTACAACCTGTAGGGAAGAAACAAAAATATTTTGCGTTACTACGCCTATTGACACCTTACTTACAAACATATTGCAAAAAAATTTCATTTTGCAATCAATTCAAATCAGGGAGCGTTTTTGTGGACACACTGGTAAAATGCTTTATGTAGGGTAGGCGTACAAAAGAACTCGATACTATGAATTGTTGCCACTAAAACAGGAAACTATTTCAGGAACATTGTTTTTTTTTTTTTTTTTTTTTTTTTTTGTTCCCGTGCCAGTTGTAGCCTGCCCCGACGTCTATCCCATGCTGATGCATGGATCCCTTGCTTGTGTCGATCTTGTGCTAGTGTCGGTGATGTGTCGGTGTCAGTTTTCTACACAATGTCGATTGAATATCGTGCCGATTCCATGCATTATTGTCCCTATGCAGGATTCTTGTTATGCCATATCGATAGTATTCCTATGTCGATCCACTGCAGAGTCAGTCGTATGCCTGTGACTGTTCTATACAAATAATAAATACACTTAATACTTTTGTTCATTATTACAATTATATAATTTCTTTTTTTATCGTATCGATGTTACGTAGCTAACTAGTATCGATTGTATGCCGGTGTCAATTTTACACCGTTTCAAATTAATGCAGTGTTCGATTCTATCCAATGTCGATTCGAGGTGCAAGCTATCCTATAAATGTAATTCGTGACGTGCACGAATAAAAATGATTACGATTTGGCATGAGTTTATTCAGATAGAATTCCTGAGTAGCTGGAGCATCAGTGAAGAATTCAATTACGCCATCGATTACGATTATGAATACGGGCAAACAACGGGCTTCTTCCCGCTGTTTGATTAATTGTCCCAGCCTCTCAATTAGTCACGGAAGTGCGGGGTAGGAGGTGGCTGATGTTAAATAGATGCTTACATGTTTCACAAACTACACGGTCGTCGGTTATTCCCCCAACCAGTAATCCGGAATTAATTTGGATTAAGCGGCCTGCCTCTTCCCGTGGGATGTTGGGATGTTGCAGGAAATGAGAAAGGGATTATGAAGAAAAGAACAAACAAATGGTGTTTCTGGGAGTTTAGTCACCCTTTTTGAAATCAGAGCCCTATGATCTTTGGGAAATAAGTGTTACTTTTTGAAGGATGAAACTTTTTCGAAATTTGAGCAAAGGAACTTAACACAGACTTTTCTGGAATAAAATAAAATTTAAAAGATAAATCATTACACTATAACATTCTGTGGTTGCATATTTGGTGGCTGTACTGTACGTTAGAGATTAATTAATCAATTTAGAAATTGTGCGATAAGCGTGTGTTGATTCAAATATCTGAGTTATTGGAAATCAAGTTAGCTTATGTTTATCCAAAACTAAATTTCGAGTACAAACCGAGCGGTCATTTTCCAGTTCATCTGTGTAAATCACATTGAAGTTTATATTTTTATTATTTGTTAACCCTTTGCGG